GACGTCGAAGCCCAGGTCCACGGTGAGCTCGTTCGACGTGTTCGGGTGGACCTGATCTTATCCGGTGAGCACACCTTGTGTGCGTGCGTGCGGCGTGTGGCGTGCGTGCGGCGTGCGGCGTGCGGCGTGTGGCGTGTGGCGTGTGGCGTGTGGCGGGTACCGGCCAGGCGGGGCTGGGGTGGAAGACAGGCTCGACATTGAGCATGCTCTCCGCCGGCGTACTATCTCCAGGCTGCACACTGAACGCACCATCGCAGCTGCACACACCGAGTGAGCGCGGTGCGGTGCGTGTGCGGTGCGTGGCAAGGTGCCAGTCCGTAACCTCATCGGTGGCGTACTGGTGGCGAATGGCGCAGCGCTTCTTCTCCCGGAGCAGCTCGAGGAACAGCTCCTTGTACGAGTGCTTCTCGGTGCGCCCGGAGCTCGCCTGGGCCATAAACGGCTGCCATCTGTACTCTCAACATTGGCGGTTGAGAGGGTTGGCGTCGCACACAAACGCACACGCACACGCACACGCACACACTCACGACCGCACACACATGCGCGTACAGTTTGTCTCGCGAGGTGACGTCATACCAGAGGCGGCACGCGGCGCCGGCGGCCACCAGCTCCTTGGGTCCCACGTAGCTCAACACCTGCTCCGCCAACTGGGCGCCGGCCGTAAACAATTACGTTCAGATATGTTGATTTTTTTTATTTCATTCTCACATCATTTATTTTTAGTGAGTTATATTTTTCCATATTTATTTGTACGTCTATTTATTTAGGGGCGTTTTCCAGTATACCTCACCGGGTAGGTGGACTGGGTGGGTGAAGAAGAGGTTGGGTTGGTCGGTCCCCGTGGTCTCCTGCTGCTGTGGGAGGCAACGAACGGGCGGCATATTCGCCCACACGTTCACTTCTTCGTCCCCGAGCATCATCGCCTTCTTGATTGTCCTTCTCTTGCCGTGGGTGGGAGAGAAGAGAACACGGCAACTCTCTCTTGCCCGAGGTGCGCAAAAAGGCAAAGCTTTGACCACTTTTGGACGCGGACCAAATTTCACGAAAGGAGAAAAAAGGTTCGCAAATCGGCACATTTTATCCGCCTAAATTCCTCTTTTTTATGTGGTAAAAAGGTGACTCCCAACCAACGTCCTTGTGTCCGCCTCGTGCTTCCTCTTCACCGCGTCCCCTGCCACTAGCTGCTGTCACACGACACACACGACAGAACGGTGTCAGAAGGGAAGTTTACCATTGGCTGTACTTGCACTGGTCGCCGCTTGCCCGGGCCGCTGACCGGCGTCGTGGGCGCTGATGTTGACGTGGTGGTGCTCGTACTGGTTGGCATTGAACTGGGTGAAGTGGTTGACGAAGACGAGGTCATTGGCGACGTTGGCATGGGCGACGATGACCATGACGCCCCGCGCTAGGCTGTCGTTGGGCTGGTGACCATGACGCATCGCGCCAAGCCGTTCGCCCATGTTGCTGATGCCTGACGCCAATGCTGCCTCATGTGGGCTTGTGGGTGAGGTGTGCTGGGTGGGTGATGATGACTTGTGGGGCCTGGGGGTTGCCTTGGCCGGCGTTGGTGTTGGAGTTGGTGTGGTGGCTGTGGTTGCCTGCTTCATGTTGCCCATGCTCTGACTGGTGCTTCTTGTGCACCTCCAGGTTTGATGTCAATGCAAAGAACTGTTGTTGTGCTGCTTGTGTCAGATCAATCACACATGTGCCACCACACACATTGCCTGCACACACAACTGCACACTGCACATGTGTGCAAAGAAAGAAGTGAACCATTGGTGGGGACGTGGAGGCAGAGGGCAGGGTTGTGGCAGGATGGTAGGGCTGGTAGCAGAGCATGGAGAACAGATTCTTGACTTTGTCAGTGCTGATGTCACACTTCTGGTCACTTCTAAATGAAATTTGGATCTGTTGTGCACAACAGAAGATGGAACATCTTTCTCTAGAGTTCCCTGCACTGGGGCTGCTTGAGGTGTAGCAACCCTTTTGCCCTTTAGCCCTTCTGTTTTTGCCTCCACTTCTTCATGCAGGATGCACAATGTAAAAGCTAACTAAGCTGATAGGCTGTGGGGGTAGAGTGGCGCAGCAGCGTGGGGTAGATGGAAGATGTTCCTGCATGCAGACATGTAGCAGTGCTCCTTAGGTGCCTGGCACTGCTGACCCTCACCAAGCCTGAAGAGCATCAACAGCAGATGGGCCAATAAAACTGAGAAAATGGGTGCCTAAGACCATCTCAGAATCCTGCTGAACAGAACATAGAAAGATTTTGTTTTTATGGTGATGGTCACCAAACAGGGGCGTTGAGGATGAACAGGGTGGCTTCCTTGTTTCAGATCCACTTGAGGATCTGGTTGCAAATCTTGAGCGCCATTGGCTTCAGTACCAATGGGCTGAATGTACACCTCAAACCCTGCACACATGCACATGAGCCTCAGGCAAATGCAGGGGTGACTTGTTCCAGCTGGCAGTAAGGAGTACACTGCCAGAACATTAGATGGAGAAATACTGATTTTGCCTACCCCCATGCCCTTGTTCTCCCATTCTCCACCTTCAAAAGGCGATTTCAAGTGGATGAGGTGGACTTGGTGGACAA